ATGGACCGGGCCTTCCCAACCCTCATATCTCTCGGAAACAAAGAAAAGCTTGTGGTATGTACATACAAATGATGGATCTGCAAATAGTTACCTGTTCTTATATTTCTGTTTTGTTAAAAAATATAGGAAAAATGCATTACCAAATATATGTCTATTCAAAAAGAAAAGGTCCACTCTCAAAGGATAGAAACATCCCAGCTAGAGAAAAGTCGATAAAGATTACATCATTGCATATGCTAGGTACAGATTAAATAACAAATTGTTTTTTACTTTTTTGGTTGACATAACACACAGTTGACTGACCATAATCGTCTAGTTTTACTCCATTTTTGTCGAGAAATCATTTATGTTTTACATAGTCTAACATGATACGTCAGGTGTTGAACTGGCGTGCGCTGAAACATAGTCGTATAGGTTATCGTTTACCTTTCCTGAAAAAGAAAAACATACTCTCTGATTTGCCTTTGTTCTTAAACACAGGGACAATCTCTTTACTACAACTCAACTCTGAACAGCGACGGCTTCAAGGAGCTTGTTCACGCGGGAAGGTAGCGGCATAACGCACTCGGTCCACAAGTTAGATTGTTATTAGTTCCACAATTTATCAAACCATATCCAATTTAAAACTTTTGCGCAGCTGCACCGCGGAGTGGTTAGCGTCAAACAACGTGACCGGCAAGATCGTCCTGTGCTACGCACCAAGGCTGGCGCCCAGCGTGCTGCCTCGAGTAGAGCTGTCCCTCACCATCAATCGTACTGTGGGTGCCGGAGCCAAGGGCCTCATCTTTGCGCAGTACACCACGAACCTCCTGCCGATATGCAAGGGCGGCATGCCCTGTATTGTAGTAGACTACGAAATTGCACAGAGAATTGAATCATACTTGGCGATCACAGAGTAAGAACATGTCGCGTTGCCTGAAAGAGGGGGATATGTTTTCTTTCTTCCAAAACTAATTTGTGCACGTCGTCTGTCATGATAGGAGTCCAATCGTGAAGGTGTCACCTGCCATGACCGTTGTCGGAGACGGGGTGTTGTCGCCAAGGGTTGCTTCATTCTCGTCCAGAGGCCCGAGTCCTCTATTCCCAGGCATACTCAAGGTACTCCATATGTGAAATTCATATCTCACAGAAAAGATAGTTGTACTTGCGGTGCTTTTAAGCTTCTATTCTCTCGGGAATTAAGAATTGTATCTCTATGGATGTTTGAACAGCCCGACATAACTGCACCAGGCGTCGGCATCTTGGCAGCTATGCGCGGCTTCTATGTGTTAATGGATGGTACATCAATGGCATGCCCACATGTCTCTGCAGTTACCGCACTTCTTAAGTCGGTTCACCCTGACTGGTCGCCTGCTATGATCAAGTCTGCAATCGTCACCACGGGTATGTACACTGTGTAGATGAAAAGTTCTTTTGACTATTTTATCTTATACGACTACCTTGTTTCTTGGTAATGATCCCAGCATCAGCGACCGATCAATTCGGTGAGCCAATCGAAGCGGAGTCGGTGCCGAGGAAGGTGGCTGATCCCTTCGACTTCGGTAGTGGCCACATGGATCCTGACAGAGCCGCTAACCCTGGCTTGGTTTACGATGTGGATGCAAGAGAGTACAAGAAGTTTTTTAATTGCACCCTTGGATCGTTCCATGGTTGCGAGTCCTACCAACTCAATCTCAATCTCCCGTCGATCGCTATTCCAGACCTCAAGGACCACGTCACGGTTCAACGCACTGTCACAAATGTGGGGGCAGTCGGAACAACTTATCATGCGGTACTTGAAGCTCCAGCAGGGGTGATCATGTCCGTGGAGCCATCTGTGATCACATTCGCCAAAGGAGGTAGCACAAGCATGACATTCAGAGTGTCGTTCGCTACAAAGCGGAGAGTGCAAGGTGGGTTTACCTTTGGGAGCTTGACATGGTCAGATGGAAATACACACTCGGTTAGAATTCCCGTCGCAGTAAGGACTGTGATACAAGACTTTGTTGCGGATATATCTTAAATACATCAACTCAATAGTGTGTCATTGTTCATGCACTCATGTACTTGGCATCGAAAAATGTAGGGAACACTAAAAATCATTTTCTTACAATAGTATGAAATAAACATGGTAGTCCTCCATGATTACTGAGATGTATTGATCCTTTTATATGTCTATATACTAGCAAAACATTGTATGGTGGCGCCGCGTGTCCAAGGGAGCACATACTTCGGGAAATTTTAATAAAAGTATGTACTTGCATCGTCTCCCCTTGGATAGTAGAGTATTTCGTCAATCCCTTGTGTCACAAGAAATTTTATCTATGAAAAAAAGCAACGAGAACAACGTGAATCACAATATAGTTACACATATTGAAATAATGCTCTAGCAACTCATTCAAAAGTCCAATCTGATGAAGAGAGATGGGAATTGTATTTCAACCCCCACCCCCATCATGTCTAGGGCCACAAGATCTTTTATTTTAATACTGTGTTGGCAGGGTTTTGAATTCAAGAGCTTTTGGCTCGGTTACCATATTGAATTCATGCTCAAGCCAACTCATCTAAAAGTCTGAACTAATGAAGAAAGATGGACAATATATTTCAACAACACACATGGATAATCATCGTCTGGAATGTGGCATGGCTTTGTACATAAAAGAGGCATAAGAAGGCTAGCAGGTCCGCAAGTGATAGGACGCAACAGCATGTGGAGATGACCAAAACAAGGGCTAGTATCACTTTACTTTGTAATTCTGCAGATGGAGGACAAAGGAAGTTCGGGACCAACTCGTGCCTAGAAATTGTGATTTCCGCACTTGTGGAACCTCTCTCCAGCGTTCCGCCCATAACGTGTGACGTATGTCACTACATTCCTTCCGCGGTACAGACAGGGTACTATGGGGAGAGCTACAAGATCAGGAGCCTGGCTTGCGTTGGCCATTTCGACCGCTAGGGTTCTTACTGGAATTAGGGATCGGGGTATGCGAGCATGGGAGGCCCTTAAAATATCTTTGTGAATGTGGCACCATTGTGAAGCAGCATGATGGAGGCTGGTGGAAGTTGCCGTTTACAGGAATACAGAGCATCGGTACAAACTGGCACAAGACATCATGGTCGTCATGTATCGAATGGAAGTCGCCGTGCGCGTGGGTCTGCCAGACCACTATATGGCATTACTTTGGACGGACCCTACCCTATACAAGCGGTAGTTATCTCACATGGCCCATATCCCCACGCGAACGAAAGGTCGGCGATTCCATGGTCAGGCGAGCTCGTCTGCTCCTATAAATTTGAAGCATAATTTTGGAGAAGTATGGTCCCTAGTTTTTATACTATTCTATGGCAGAACTTAGGCGAGTGTTATTACAGGTGTTATGGTCACACTTGAGGTGTCACTAGGCTCAAATGAGTTGACTAGCTAGATACCTACAAGACTTATGAAGTGATTGTGGAAATGTTGGAAATATGAAGTTTCTAGGAAGACAAAAATCTTAATAATAAAAAGTAATAGCACAAGAAAATTGGCTTCTATGACAAAACGGCTTTATGGAAAATATAACCCGTCATATAAGTGACCACATCCATGACGGTCACAACCATAGTTTAGAAAAATATAATTAGGAATTCATTGTGCATCATGATCATTGCATAAGCATCAGTTGTTTAAGGTCAATTCTAGGCGCCAGCCATGCACTAGTCGTCACATGCTGTCCCATGTAGCCGTCCGATCCTTCTATCCCATCTTGCACGAGATCTAAGAAAATAGCCATGCACATGGCGGTCGCACCTCACCGGCACGTCGCGCTGCCCGCATCTGCCCTTCCCTGTTTGCCCTTGCCATCAACCGTTGCCCCTGTGCTCGTCGTCGATGCTTGCTGCAAAAAAAGTTGCTCCGCGTCACCGTCCAGTTGGATCCTTTGAAAAATGCTGGTTCTAGCAAAACAAGACTACCATGGTAACAAAAATAAATGAAGTTTCAAGCAAAAATAATCTCTGTAGGACAAATCTGAGATAGTCGA